ACTGAGCCACCCAAGAGCCCCTGATTCCTACTCTTTTGATTATGTCCCCATTTCTTTATTTAGTCTTAATGACTGTGTTCTCCTCATCCCTACTTATAGAACCATCAGCTGAATGACTTTCTCATTTACTTTTTTTTTAATGTTTATTTATTTTGAGAGGTGAGGGGTATAGAGAGGGAGAGACAGAGAATCCCAAGCAGGCCCCATGCTATCAGCATAAAGCCCAATGCGGGGCTCAAACCCACAAAACGTAAGAGCATGACTTGAGCTGAAACCAAGAGTCCTGTCATACACTTAACTGACTGAGCCACCTAGGTGTCCCTTTATCGTTTACTTTTTTTTTTTTTTTTAACATTAATTTATTTTTGAGAGAGAGAGACAAGGTATGAGTCAGGGAGGGGCAGAGAGAGAGGGAGACACAGAATCTCAAGCAGGCTTCAGGCTCCAAGCTGGGGGCCCAATCTTGGAGACTCGAACTCTAAGCCATGGTCATGACCTGAGCCAAAGTTGGATGCTCAACGGACTGGGCCATCCAGGTGCCCCTAGTGATAGCCTTTTCCTCACCACATATAGCAAACTTGTTGAGAAATTATTTGCCATATAATTTTTTCAAAAGTGAACAGTCTGGAACTAGGAAAATTTCTTCGGTTGCTCCCAGTGGGTAAATTTGCCTTTCTTTTCAAACATCATTCCTACACCTGTAGCAAATGTATTCTATTAAAGTGAATAATCACTTCTGAATGTTGCTTGTAATTAATTTGTTTTTTTTATTGGCCCATTAGGACTTTAGACAAATTCTGCTGAGTCTAAAATAGTCTGCCTTGAGTATTAGCACAGTGATGTGTGTGTGTGTGTGTGCTTTTGGATTTAAATAAACTACCGAAGTAATGCATTTCCACTATAACAGAAACATGAGGACAAATGCTGTGGCTATAAAAAGTCCAAACTTTGTTCAGTCGATGTTATTCAAGATATAGGCAGATAAATGAGAAAGAATGAGATCCTGCCATTTGTAGCAACATGGATAGAACTGGAGGGTCTTATGCTGAGGGAAATAAGTCAGTCAGAGGACAGATATACGTTTTCACTCATGTGGATCTTGAGAAACTTAACAGAAGAC